CCACCAAATTCAATGGTGGAACAAAATTGTTAAAAGGGTTAAAACATAAGAAAAACCTTTGAGTAAATTTAGGGGTAGACAAAACTCTTAGTTACTTGGATCAAACTTGCAAAAACACTTGCCTACTTTCCAAACCACACTCCACAAACACTTTCAAAACAAACTTTCAAAAAACATTTGAAACATCTTTTCGAAAAGATACCCCTTCGTATATACTCAAACACAAGTCATTACAACGGTTGCCGAAACAAAGGCGTCTATTTCAAAACATTTTCAAAACACACACACACACACACACACACACCATTTCAAGCAATCAAAAATCAAGGCAAGTGATCTAAAACCAAGTAACTAAGAGCCCATGGATAACCATGAATGAAAAGGGTGCTAATACCTTCCCTTTTCATAATCTACCCTCCGAACCCACGAAACATCTCAAAAGGTTTTTCCTGTGCTTTTTAACCTTTCCTTAGGATAAAATAAAAAGTCGGTGGCGACTCTTGCTAAACCGAACAAGTGCGAAAACAAACGCAAAACCCAAGTCAGTTCTCCCACCGTATCACAATAGCTAGCAATGATCTTTCCTTCTCCGTGTTCTACATAATCCTTTTAAATTCCTGTACCCTATCTCACGTTCACCGCTTCTCCCCAACTTTCACGGTTGCACAAAATGAGACACTAACACTCTCTTTTCTTAGTTTAATCCTTGGACCCTTTCTATGGTCTTCCTATATTATCCTCACTTATCACTTCACCAATTACCACCTTACCCTTATTATTTCTACACAATATATTATCTTTATTTCACTAATTAAAATAATTCTAAGTAATTACTCTAATTATCTAAATTTATTAAAACACCCCAATATCACTTAATTTCCACTATAACATACATAACATCACATCACACATCATATTCATCAAAACATCACATATACTCACAAACACATCATAAATACTCATCATAAATTAATTAAATAATTAAATAAATAATCTAATTATTTTAGGATGTTATACATCTCACAAATTTAGTGACTGAACTAGTACATTTCTTGATGGATTTCAGTTCAACGTGTAATTGATGAACACAAGCTTTCATGTGCATATTTAAGTACTTATGAATTATATCTCAAACTTCAAAGGCATGCATGCATGAGAGAACACAAGGAATAATAGATTCAGATATAATGGAGAAAAGCCAAATGAAAACAACTTGATCTTGAACGATCCACCCTTCATATTCATCAAAGATCTTTCCTTCAAGCTGATCTTGAGGTGCCTTGAACTTAATCGGAATGCGAGAATTCACAACCACTTTATGAGCACTTTGAGCGAGGATAACACATTCAACCTACTAATATCAGAGCATGTAATTATTCTCATGCTATTTGATCGAAAGCTTCCAACAAACTTGTGTGAATTTGATGATTCAAGTGTAGAAAATATCGTGTGCAGTGATGATTGACAAACATCGTCTTATAGTGTAATCGGTGTAACATTGGAGGATTCTTCCATATAAGCTCAATAGAGAAGATGGAGATAAGAGGGAAAGTTAGTTACGTAACAAGATTTTGTTGGCGAAGTGAGAGAGAGTTGAAGGGATCAACTCGACGATTGATACCATGACTAAATGTTTTCTCACAATATTCATTCATTCTAACTCAACATTTACAAACTCATAGTCAACTATATATAACACATATATACATGTATGTGCATGATGATACAAACATATTGCTATACATCAATTCCCATGTAAAATTATGTGTTTGTTGTCTAAACCAGCCTCATAATACTTACCCAATATAACACATAAACACAAAGTCTCTCACCTACATGAGCCGACCATCTCTAAAAAATCAAAAAAATCAACAAGTAAAATCTCTCACCACTTTGAATAAGCCTTAATCACCATTAATTACAAAGATCTTTAAATATCTCATACTTACGTAAAGATAACATACACATTGTACTTTTTAATAATTATAATTATAAATAAATAAAAAAAATTAAACTTTAAAAAAGAAATAATATTAAAAAAACTCAACTTGAACTAACCGTGATTAAATTATCATGAATTTAATTTCTAAAATATTAAAATTAATTAAAATAGTTATAGGTTATCCCATTATCCAACTATATATCCTCTAGAAGAATAAAATAATAATTTATTTTTTTAAAATTGATTTTAATAATAACTTGATAATGTTTTGATATTTGTATTTTAATTTTAGAGTTTAATTTAGTTTTTTAACTTAAAAATAAATTTATATTAATCTTTTAATTTTTTAAAATATTTTACATTAATTATTTTTATCTTATTAACGATAAAAAATTAAAGAGGGTTTATTATTAAATTTATTGTTATTTAAATTAAAAAATTAGTATAATATTTTTAAAGAGTTAAGAAATTAATACATATTTTTTAATTATTTTTTAAGTTAACATACTTAAGAAATTAAACTACATGCATTAAACTTTTAACAATTTAAGAATTGAGTTGATAAAATAGATAATTTAAATTTAGTAGTTTGACTCCAATAATAAATGAATTCATGAATTCTTTCGGACTAATAGTTAGTTGATTTAGTAGTGTTGATATTTGACTTCGCAAAAAAGATTATGAGTCTATCTTGACAATTGTAATTGAGAAAAAAAAATGAAACTATTTTATGTTAGAATTAACTCTTAAACTATGTTATAGTGATAGTAAAAATTGTAATTTAGAAAATATCAAATTCTATTCTTAAATGGAAATAACATTTGATAAATAAGAGATTAGTCGATTCAATGAATAGTTGAATCATATAGGTCTGAAAAAAATTAAAGATAATTTAGAGATTAAAAAATATATATATTTTTGTAACGTTTTAAAATTTCAGAGCCAAGAAGAACACAAGTAGGTTCGGACAGCTATATCTTAGTGTGTTTTTCGTCATTCCAAATATTTTCTCTCTCCTCTCTTCTTCTCTTTCTCTCTCTCCTCTCAGCTTTTATTCTCTCTCTTTCAGTTCTGTGTACCCTCTTTCTGTATCAACCAAAGGGTAAAACCAAAACCCCACACTACTATTTTCTTCATAACACTGCCAAATCTCTACCTTTCTATACCTCACACCATTGAAGAACCTGCACTCTTACCCCAACTAATTGTTTTCCCTCATTCATCATTATAGCAACTTTTTTCACTATTCAGGTATAGTTATTTCAATAACCTTTCCAATTTTTCTTCATGTTTTCTCTCTTTTTCACTTACATATGTTTTTTTTTTTTCATATACTAGTTTTAATCAAACAGATTCAGTAGCTTTTGGGGGTGTTTATGTTTTGATTTAGTTTCAAGGTGATTTTTTTTTTGTTTTCTACTGAAGGAAAGTTTTCATCTTTAAAAAAAATTTCTTTTTTTTAATTTTTTTAATTTTTTTATGTTGTACGGTAATTTTTTAGATATAACATGTTTCGATGAATCTTATGAATGTGGTTGTTGTTTGTTAATGTGGTTGTTGTTTGTTAACGTGGTTGTTGTTGTTAGTGTTTGCTCAGTGTTTTCCCCTATCGGGTGTGTTGTTGTTTTTCTTGTTTGGAGAAGTGTCTTTTTTTTTCTTTTTCTTTATTTCAACATTTTAATTTTCCCATGAATATTTGTTGCAGGAGGGTCAAGATTGGAGTTAATTTTTTCTGTCTGTTTACTTGAAATTTACGTTTCACCATGACAATTTAACATTTTCACATTTACCTCCTCATATTTCTCAAGGTATGTTTCACTCCTTATTGGTCATTTACCGTTTTCTTTTGGATTTTTTATAAATATATAATTTTATAATTAAAAAATAAAAATCAATTAGTACAACATTTTAGGTATGTGTTTGTCTGAGATAGTGTTGCATACAAATTTGCAATGTTCATTTTAGGTACTATCAGTATCTGATAATACATGTTTTTTTGGGAGTATTTTATTGTAATCTTAGGAGGATTTGGGAATTTGCAGTGTGGATTTTTTTGTAATTTCAAAAGGACAGAGAATCTTTACTTGTATGATTTTTGACTTCTTATCAAGAAAAATAAAGTGGCATGTGAACTTCTGAGACAATGGATGTTGAAATGACATAAACATTGGGAAGATGTTATATGTTACAGTCACTTACACATATTAAAATATTCCTACATTTTTTGAAAAACTTTTTATATTTTTTGTTTTTCCCATTTTGCCCCTTAATGTACACATTTTTGTTTCAAAATTAATGCTTAATGAATATTAATATATTATACTAACTTACAACTCCCCGTTCTTTGTCCTTTTTTTAATTGTCACAACAAAATTAATAATAGTTGCTACTTTTTAGATTATGATTTTCCTTTTGTCTATAATATGTTTAACTTTTAATTATTTTAATATAATTTTCTCTCTCTTATAATAAATAATTAGAGATAAAAATAACAATAAAAAATGACAATTAAAAAAAGGAAGGAGCGAGTAGTTACATAAACCAAAATTTCTTTTTCTTCTTTTTTACAAGTTGAGTCACACACCGTCCTTTGTGCTTGTTTTAGGAACATTTTTTGTTGTCATGATTATAAAGTTTCAAGTCTCTGTCAGATATTTCACTTTAAATATTGGGTTATGTCCCAAACACTGTTTGTCACTGTACAGTTAGATCTTCAAAGATGCTAAAATGGATTTGCATAACTAAGAGAATCCTAATGGTTAATATTTGATGATAGTATTTATTTATATTTTTATTTAATTATGTTTATAAATAAACAACTTTAAATTTTTTATTGTTTTTGAAGAACAAAAAGAAAATTCGGTTCACTACTAAATTTCTCGATCTGTGTAAGCATTTTACTTTTTTTTATAATAATATTTTAATCTAAATATGCTCTTCATGATCACGATTTTGATTATTTAATTGAAATTGTGAAAGCTTTTCAGAGATATTGTCATCTAGTATATATAGATTATAAATTCTCATTTTCTTAGCATTTTATTTTCTACTTTGGCAGATGGAATCAGTGAAACCATCAGCAGTAACAACCCCAAGCAAGAAACTAGCTAGAAACTTTGCGAAAGTTCTTCATCTCAGAGCATTTCTGAAGAATGTTACTATATCTGAAACAAATCCAAAAGATGAAACAACTGCAATCAATTGGTCTGAATCATTCAACAAAGTTGATGAAGATGAAGAGCTTCAAGAGCAAAGAGTTGCAACAGAAGCACTTCTCGCGAAGGTTTTCGCTAGCGTTTCGACTGTTAAAGGTGCTTATGCTGAGTTACAGCATTTTCAATCACCTTTTGATCCTGATGGAATTGAAGCTTCTGATAAACTGCTAGTTTCTGAGCTGAAGCATTTGTCTGAGCTAAAGCAGTGTTACTTGAAGAAACAGTTTGATCCTTCACCGGAGAAAGCCATACTTGAAGCTGAATCGAAGGAGACTAAAGGTGTTATAAGAACCTATGAGATTACGGCGAAGAAGTTGGAGTCACAGGTTAGGCTCAAAGATTCTGAGATTATGTTTCTTAAAGAGAAATTAGTGGAAGCTAATAGTCATAACAAGTTAATCGAGAAAAGATTGAATCAAAGTGAATCGTTGTCTTCTCTAGATAATAATGTTCACATATCAGGGTTAAGTCCTAGCCATTTTGCTAGCATTCTTCGTCACACGGTTAAATCGATTAGAAACTTTGTGAGGTTAGTTGTTGGTGAAATGAGATCTGCAAAATGGGATATTGATGCTGCTGTCGATGCTATCGAACACAATGTTGTTTACTTCGTAGAAGATCACAAGTGTTTCGCAATCGAATCCTTTGTTTGCAAAGAAATGTTTGACGCGTTTCACTTCCCAAATTTCAATCTTCCGAGTGAGTTACTTCCAGATGACAGAACCAATCAACAAAACTGGTTCTTTCAGAACTTCAACGAGCTGAAATCAACAAAAGTTAAAGACTTTCTTACCGCGAAACCACGTTCATCTTTTGCCAAATTCTGCAAGAACAAATATTTGAGACTGGTTCATCCGAAAATGGAGGTATCGTTTTTCGGAAACATGAATCACAGAAACTTTATAAGCAATGGCGAGTTTCCAAAAAGTGATTTTTTCGCAGCCTTTGGTGAAATGGCGAAAAGGGTTTATCTATTACATTGTTTAGCATTCTCATTTGAAGATCAAGCTGAGATATTTCAAGTTTCAAAAGGGTGTAGATTTTCTGATGTGTACATGGAAAGTGTGAACGATGAAATCTTCATGTGTGCAAATTCAGACAAGACAACAACAATTGTTGAACCAGAAGAAGAACCTGTTGTTGGTTTCACCGTTGTTCCTGGTTTTAGAATTGGTAAAACTTTTTTACAGTGTCTAGTTTACCTCATGCAGAAGAAAAGTTCATAGTTTCAATAAAAGACATGTAATAGGCCCTACAACAAAGGTAAAGGGCATGGCATGGCATGGAAAACGAGGGCATTTTTGTCCTTTTGTGTTTTGTTTATTTTAGAAAAATGAAAAGAAAAGGAAAGCTAGTGGACCATAGCATTGGGAACAACCTTTTTCTTTTAGAATCTTTTTTTGTTTTTTTGTTTTAATTTATCAAGATTTTATATTTATGAAAAACATCTCCCCCAAAATTTTGTTGATATCAGGGCGGTGACAGGGGTGGTCTAGCTGTTATGCATCTGTTTAAGACATTGCATGATATAATATGTATATAATAATATTATGATATATAGGTAGGAATTTTATAATCCTCTTTTGCTTTTTATTTTATTTTATTATTTATGATTTTTCTTGTGCCTTGTTCCTCTTTTGTTGAATTTACTTAAGGTTATTTTAATGTTATCTTTGTCTGGTGAATGGTGATGACTTTGTATGTTATCAAGTGTTGGAATAGGTGTTATGTTTATGTGGTAGCAGCTCTATGCAATTTCTTTTATCAATGTTTATTACTTTATTCTAAAACTTTGATTGGTTTTAGCATCTTGTGTTCAAATCAAAGTATCGTTTACAAATTCTTGAAATAAATAAATTCTTTCAACTATTATAAGTTTTTTTTTTCGTCTGACATGATTTTTTGATTTTTTAAAAATCTGGTTTGAATGCATAATTAAAAACTTACTTAAAATTCTGTTTCATATTAAAATGTTTGAATAGCCTTTTTTTTTTCACTTTTAAAATAGACAAGATGATGTTTTATATACTATTTAATTAATTTAATAATAGATATTAGTATATAGGTGATAAGTGTTACGTTAATATTTATTCATTTATTTTACAAGCAATCGTTACAAAAATCTCTGATTTATTTATGATTTATTTATGAAAAGTAAAAAAACATATGATTAGATTTTTCTTGCATGCATTTATTATAAACAGATTAAAAGAGCAAGAAAACCACAAATTAACGCTAAAAAATAGGCAAAAGTAGAACCTTAAAAAAACAAGGCTTGCTAGACCCAAGCTACAAGCACACTAGACACATAATAGGATTAGGTGGCAGCACCACGTGCAAGTATTTCATAGTGAAACAAAAGTTAATGTGATAATCGAAGGGACTGTGCGCTAAGCGAGCAAAGACAGTCAAGGATACATGAAAGACATGCAAGCATTGTTTGTCGAAGAATAAAAGTTGGCTTATCAGTGCATCAAATTAGGGTAGGAGTGTTGGGTGCCAAGTGAGAGCCTCAAAATTTTGTTTATAAATAAAAGTTTTTAGTTTAGTGCAAAGAGAATTTCAGTGGGTTGGAGGAGTACAAAATTGAAGTAGATTCACCCTGGTCTATAACATAAGGATAAGAAAGGAGTTATGAAGGCGGAAGTGTTGCTCAGGTGATAGGGAGATTCCATTTTCGAAGTCAACTTTTCTAGAAAGGTCAGCTGTTATGTTAACAATGTATAAGTGTAGTTAAAATTTCTATTGTTGGAGTGAGATGTATTCGTAATATTCATGTACTAAATAGCTCATGATGTTCTATGTAAATCTACTAATGCTGTAATATTGATGACTCTTTAATCTTAATGTTTGTATTAACTTTACATCATAAAACTTGTTTTCTTGGTGTGACATGACATTTAATGATACTTGTCATTACTAGATCCAAGATAACCATCTATTGAGTACTAAGTCTAAACATAAGCTTAATATTCACATGTATTGTACCAGGATCAGTGTGGAGTCTCGCTACTTTACGATTGTTGAAACTTAATGCTCTGTGTTGATTAATAATAACATATACCATCCTATTAGGTAACACACTAATCTGACAAAGTGAAGATCGAACGGAGATACAAATAATGACAACAAGTGGTAGTATTATACATTGAGTTGAAGAGACAATTACTGACTTATAGATGTGCATGATAGATACATAATAATGAAATCTACCCCAACAAACATTCTTAATGTTAACACCGAAATCTGCAACTTTACTTTCTGTCATTTACTTTTCTGTATCTCAACAAACACAAGACCCTTTTCTTACTTAGAATAATAAATAACTACTACACTATCTTTAAAACTATCAGTCTATGCGGATATGACAATCGTAAAACTTACTTTTACTGCTAATGCAATAAAATGGCACCGTTGCGGGGGAATGCTGCTTAGTTTTAAAGATAAAAGCTATTATTTTAAGTGCGTATGTATTTGTGTATAATTTTTATAGTATGTATATTTTTTATATAATAACTAACCTATTTTCTTTTAAAATTATATATGTTTTTACTAGTTTATGCGAGGTAAGGTTCCTACTGAACATGTTTTGTTCGATCCCGAATTCTAAAGAATTGTACACATAAAACTTAGTGCAAACAGGAAAAAGAAATAAAGAGCCGGGAAAGACTTGATCTAGAAGAATCTTCTGTCTCAGAACAAATAATAATGACTAAAGTAAACTACACAAATTTAAAAAATATTATTGATACACCGTGTCAATATAGTCTCAGACTTCTAGCTCACTTAGTCAGAACACATAAGAATGTCCGACAAAGTGTATGAAAACAAAATTGTTACAAATTTTGTTTGCTAACCCTTTTGCATATTTAGATCATGAAGAACCGTATACACCTCTCTAAAAATTCTACAATATTGTTGATACACTAGGAGCGTCAGAAGATTAGGAAAAGGCAGTATTTCTACGGTTTTCCATATCCACTGATTGGAGAAGCAAAAGAGAGGTGTCTAGACCAGAATTTTTTTTATTAATAACCATGTATTAAAAAAATATTTCGCAAATAACCGGGTTTCGGAAAAAATTACGCAAATAACCATGTTTGAGATGGCTCCACAAAGGAGGAGCCATCTCATTTGGCGCATGCACCTAGGGTTTTGCCCTAGGCGCCATCTCACTTGGCGCCTCCATTGGCTTTTAGCCAAGTGAGATGGCGCATGCTCCTTAAAAATGAGAGGAGGCGCCATCTCACTTGGCGCCTAGGGCAAAACTAGGGTTTTTTGCTGTTTTATAAATAATTCGTCCGTTTCTTTGAAATTTCTCACACTTTCTCGCACTGTATTTTTATTTTGTACTCCCTTATTTACGTAATGACGTCGCCTATGATTTTTAGCAGAGATGGTTACGTTATATTCTCCGCCACGAAACCTGCGATGAAAATGAAATTCTGGCACATTCACTCCATGGAGCGTCTGAAGCGGGAGTTGATGCGGTGGCTAGATGGAGACATCGCCGAGGGGGAAAAAATTCGAAGGATCCAGCGAAAACGAACAACAACCTCGCATGCGACAGGAAGACCTAATGTGTGGTTGGAGGAAGTCAAAACAGACAGTGATGTAATGCTGATGATGCATGGGTCAGATGAAATTGTGTTAACAGTTGTAATTTCCTAGATTGATTATCGTTAATCATTGTTGTACGCGAAAACCCTAATGTAATTTCCTATATTGAATTTCCTAAATTGTGTGAACAGTTTTATTAACGGAAAACCCATAATGTTTACAACATAAATATTGAAAAGATTTATTGTATTACAAAATTTATGTGGTCGAGCCAGACGCCCGATTCGGACAGTTTTTGCGATTGTGTCCGACCTGACGGCATAAACCACACTTTCTTTCCAACCTGTCAAGATCGTCCATTTCTGTTGTTATGCGCCTGCTTTTGGGACGAACCTTCTTGTTCCTTCGCATTTGGTCGTTGTGCCAAACTATATCACCGTTGTATTCAGGCCAATAGTCCGGTTTTGCCACCAAAGGAAAGTTGTTGTTGTAAACAGTGAGCAACGTTTCAGATTTATAAACGTTTGAGAGCAGTTGAAGCGCGTCTTGATGGGTATGCGCACAAGCGGCAATGACATGAGAGCAAGGCATACGAAAAGCTTGAAACCTGCCACAATCGCACCATTGAGAAGGTAAAATGACCCTGTATTCTTGTCTTGCCAGGCCTTCATTGTGGTCAATTGTCTCTTTCACAATGAAGTTGTGGCTATGGCGGTCAAACCGTGTAACCATGTGAGTGTTGGCTTTAGCACTTTCAGCCTTAATGTATTTCATACAGCTTTCACTCCATAGTTGTCCTGATTGCAAGACCGCATACCACATTTCACCTCTTTTGGCAAATAACGCAGCCATCCTAAAATACGTTGATTTCACCAAGGCAGTGATGGGGAGGTTTCATATGCCCTTGAATACCCCATTCATTGATTCAATAAGATTTGTAGTCATATGCCCCCATCTTTGGCCATTGTCGTATGACCTAGTCCATTTTTCGACCGGTATATTGTCGATCCACGTACCGGCTTCTGGGTTAGACAAACGGATCTCGTTGCGGTAATATTTGAATGTGGGCTGTGTCAGTGCGTATCCCGCATTCATCACCGCTTTCCTCAATGTTTTGTCCTTGACCTCCCTCGAGAAATTCTGGACGATATGCCTGACGCAATAGACATGCGTAGAAGGAGGGTCATGCCAACCATTTGCCGGATTATTATAGGCACTTTCAATGGAGGCATGTCTGTCCGAGATCAAACAGAGATCTGGTTGAGGAGCCACGTGTGTACGAAGATTTTTCAGGAAAAAGCTCCAAGCACCACCGGTCTCCCCCTCGACAAGGGCAAACGCAACGGGGAAAATGTTATTGTTGCCATCTTGTGCAACTGCCATCAAAAGCGTGCCTTTGTACTTCCCATACAACCAAGTCCCGTCTATTTGTAGAATTGGTTTGCATGATGCAAACCCTGAGATGCATGGTTGAAATGCCCAAAAGACGCGACTGAATATTCCGTTGCCATGTAGTAGACTACCATCTTGAGCGTACGCTGGCAATGTTTCCAGAACATAAACACTACCTGGAGAATATGTCTTGAGTGCATTTAGGTAGCGGGGAAGTTCTCGGTATGACTCCTCCCAGTTTCCGTACACCCTTTCAATCGCCTTAGTCTTTGCT